CCTCGTATATGTAGAACTTTTCTTCCAATGATGCATAATGCTGTCATCACTGTATTCATGTGCAGCATTGTTTTGATAATTGTGTAGTCATCCCAAACTTTGTTTACTTCATCATTCTTGTATTATACTTGTACAGCACATAACTGAAATATTATTAAAATATTATATATGCACATATTAAAATTGAACCAATCAGATATGTTCATTTAATGAATAACGTTTTAAGATCAGGTGATTAGATTCAAAAACTAAAACATTTACAGCTTGTATAGCTATAAAGGCCAGTTCATATTTGTTTCTATAGTATTTCTGTTATATTTAGGCGAAACATAACTGACATCTTGAGTTCAGTCATCCCCCATATGGATGCATGGATTATGAATTCTAAATGACCTTTCCTCCTAGCCCCATCCATGATTAGTGGGGTCGTCAACAGCATTTATGTGTCAGTGGGCTGCGTCATCTGTGATTCAGGATTTTTTTTTTTTTATTTTTGCTGAATTTATTCGTTTTGATAGAAACCTATAGAAAAAACACATGTATACACTTGTCAATCTTCCTGAAACATTTTGTGTAGCTCTTATACTTTTCCGAATAATTTGGCTTTATTCTGAGGTTTACAACTAAAATAAAGACGAAGTGCAGCCTTCAACACCTGTTTATTTTGCATTCTTGAAACCTGTGCTTCGAAATTTTGACTCTGGACAACCCACTGATTTTTAAAGCGGGAGAGTCGTTACCTGCGCACGCGCGAGAATTGAGTCCCAAGCGATGATAACAACACACTAAGGACGCAAAGGCTCATGGGTAGACGCTTGTTTGTAAACAGTGACACGCTATGGCCACCTGACGCATGCGTAGGTGACGACTCCCCCGATTTAATACTTTGCTAAAACGAAATGGTAACAGCATCCGCAAATCGACCTAAAAAAAGTTGACCACCAGATGACCTCTTGTCCTGTTCTCCATCATTGAACTGAACAGTTGATTCTTTCGATGATGCTTAACTAGTTGTTAGTTTTGTGGGTCGGGGTACGGTGAAGGCTTTGGCGGTGCGGGATGCATGCCAAATATATGTTAATGTATAGATGCAAGTTCGTGGGCACTCGGAGTGAATTTTTTTTTTTTTTTTGCTTTTCTCACCCAGACAGTCTTGGCTAGATAGTGTTGAAAGTACACAAGTATTTAAAGTTCACAGGGGTATCAATCCCAATTTCTTTTGGATGCAAAGTTTTTCAACCCAATATCTTTTAACTTTATTCACAAGTAATAATGCAGAATACTCAAATTGTCACGTGATCATTTTTCCCACTAAATAAACATTCTCTAATACAGAAGTTAATATGCGTATTTTCGAGAAGTAGATCAAAGAGTGAGTGAGATAACTTGTAACAGTTCGTTTTCGCGGACATGCCAACTTTTAAATGTACACCCCTTTCTCCGCGACACTCGAAACGCACATGCTTACTCTTCGACCAGTGCCATCCACCGCCCATATCCCACATCTAACTGTAAAATCTTTTTACCGTGGCATTTCTCATTCAAGAAAATGTACGTAGAATGTTTACAGTAAAACACGTAACATGGTGCAAACACGAACAATTGTTCGAGACACCAGAGTCGAAATCACACTTCAAATGAATCTAGGCTCCAAATCGTATTTAGTTGTTTCTTGTATCAACGTGGAGAATGCGTGATGACTGCTTGGGAACACTTCATATACTTGTTATCACAGTGTTATTTGTTAACAACTTTAATACGAGCTATAGCTGACACGGTTAGTCACCCCCAATCATCGACTCTGACTTAAATGGAGGGACTTCCTACGATATTATACCGTGAGAATGAAGCTTTTGAGTTTTATCGGCTATGGGTAGTTTATTTCCGGCAGATAACATCATTACACCAACAACCATGTATCGACTTACAGAGTTGATTCGCCTGTCTTGCGGTGTGATACACCGCGACAGCCGATCACACTGTTGATTCTTCCGCCTTGCCATGCAATATGGCAGTACGCATGATAGGTGACGCAAATCGATTTCCACCAGCATTATGACGTCGATTATCTTGCCCGGGTTAGAAATCAATTTGGATAAATTGTTGGGACTTTGGGGGGAACCCACACCCCACCCCAATTGCCCGGGAACCACCGCCGTTTTTATCGCTCTGCATGATGGTTTACTATCTATATTCATCTATGAGCTTCTCTTGCTGGTCATAACATTATTATTAAAAATAGACATTGTTTTTTCATATTCTGAAAAACTAGACAAATAAAAATAACATTTTTTTGAACTGACTAATTATACCATTTTAATAATAAATAATCCGTGAATCTTATCGCTAACGTCTCTAATATGCGAGAAAGTATACTAGTATAGCACTACAGGGGTTTATAGCGACATGTTTATCATTTTTTTATTCCAGTGTGCACACGGGAGTTTTTTCTAAGCTTTATTCAATTCAAAAGAAGATCAAATCTTGAAAAGTTATGACATCCTAAAAAAGTCACGACGTATCAGATGATGTTACTTTAAGCTTCGTATCGTAGTTAAAACGTCACTGAGGGATCGAGGCGGGATTTAAAAATGGTCCACGAGCTAGGAAATAAATAGTATCGTTTGTTTTGGTTCGAGTTTTTATCTGATATCTTTAACGCTATGACGAAGATTGATTTTGCATCGCTGAGAACTTTGAAGAGATGTTCTGGTAACGTCACGTGGCCGTTGCCGTGGGTATGACTGGATAATCGACAATTTGTTGTTCATAGCGATTAAAATTGAATAGATATTGAGATA